GTTTTGTGAAGAAATCGGGACACCGCTAGCAGACGTCGGGAAGAAGACGGCAGACAATCTATGCACGTTCCTAGTATGAACGTGTAATGTGTTATAAAACACATATTGCATGGCCTAATTCGGGCACTAGGATACGTCTATTTTCCCCTCGGGGTAGTGGGGTACCAGCAATACTTGCCTGCGGCCTCGTAAAATAGCAGGTATTGAATGTACCCCACAACCCCTCGAGGGAAATAGACGTATACTAGTGCCCTCATGACCATGCAATATGTGCTTAATTGGCCCCTAGGGCCTAGAGCAGACATATTGAAGAAAAAAACACCCTCTATCGGGCTATGGGTTCGACAATTTGGGGCCTAGGGCGGTGTATGGATATGTATGGTGTCTGTTGCACGAGGGGGCCTACAGTGGGCGCAGCAACCCTGTGAGTTTATTCCTGGGGGCCTATTGCAGACATTAGCATTTTAGAGGGGCCTGTTTGCCTCCTGTGCGAGCCTGCTTTGGAGTGTGAAAAACACCCCCCCCCTTTCCCGCTAAATTTGGAATGCACATGGGGTGGTAACAGCATATAGAGTGATCCCCCTTGGATACTTTACCTTTTTGCTCCGCTGTCGACTTTGTCAAGCGGAGCATATCATTTGAGTGATTGTCTGTCCGTGTCAACTTTTTACTTATTTGACTTCTTCTTGAAAACTACAATTGTTATTGCTTTGATACTTGGTGTATATGTACCTTGGGCATTTCGTTATGATATCTTCAATTCTATAATTTTGATGAATATTTTTGGTTAAAGGTGATATTTTCGACTTCTTGTTAAAAACCGCAAGTCGGATTGCTTTGATATTATACATATTGGTACCTCAGGTAGACCTCTCTCAGATTTGTTTATTTCATGTTGATATCTTCAATTCAAAGTGCTTTGCTAACAGCAGAGCTTTCTCAGCCGAGAGGCTGCTTGTTGAATGTATTCTGGACTCCATCCATAATATACCTTAAGTTTGGTAAATGTATTTTGTATTCTATCATCATATGCCATTTGTGTATGTGTGTTTGGTTCCATCCATAACAATTTTCGTGAATGTGTTTTGGGCTGCATCGTGTTCGTTTCATTGATCTACATTATGCCGCGAAATGTGACGAGAGAAATGGTCTGCCCATGGTTGTACAATGTAGTGGTTTTATTTCACAATATTACGTGTGTGCTGCAATTTATGGCAAACTTTGTGTACACTTTATCAATATTTTCTGTTTGTTAGTAATGTTACAACATGTA